GGCTGGATGTCTCAAAGAAATCCTCCCACACGTTCCTAAGGAGAGGATATTCTTCACAATGTGATTATGGACTGAGGGCCCATTACTGAGAAAGCAGAGAGTAAGTTGTGAAAGAGAAACCCACAGAGTATTTATGCAACAGTTAGAAGCAACAGATTCAATGGGCACATAGCAACACGTACAGGCCTTTAAAACGTAATGCTTTGTGAAAAGAAACAAAAAGGAAACATGAGCGCTACAGCAAAATGTTATGTGCATTAAAAAGGTATGCTCACAAGATGACAAATACACATTGGGTAAGAATGCATACAAACAAAAAGACATACACGTGAAATCACATTAAAATGGTTGCAGTGGGGAATAAGAGTAAGGTATAGGGATGAAGGAGAATAAATAAAACAAGAGTGGAGCCTTGCCTGGACCAGTGGTCATCATGTGCAGTGAGCTGAGGAGTATCAGAAACTCATCCGCTTGGCCCTGAGCTCTGAAACTAGGAAGGAAGGGAACGAAGGAGGGAAGGTGCCAAGGAATAATGAAGGGTGATGGTGGTGGAAACCACAGCAGCCTTGGAGGGCAAGATGACAAGAGAGGGGCTTACAAAGAAATAGTTGAGATTAGGCAGTTAGACGGGGTGACCTTGAGCATCTAAAAGTCCCCCAGGAATCCTAGTAAATCTTGAGGGGGATCCTGAACTTCTGGTAGTCATTTCTATTTATTTATTGGAGAACAGTGTGTTTTTCCAGGACCCATCAGCTCCAAGTCAGTTAGTTGTTTCAANAACTCTTGTCTTCTCACTTTCATAGGTTTTACTTTTTAGAGGCTGTTTACATGGAAATATTTTCAATAATATTAATATTAACATTAATGATGTTAATATTAAGTACTTTCTACGTGTCAGACCCCTTGCTGAGTACTTTGTCTATAGTTATCTCATTTAATCACCATATTAACCCTGAGAGGTAATGTGCCATGAACCCCTGGACAATCCAAGGTCAGTTGGCCAGGAGAGGGACTGTGTTTTTAGCCAGATGACATTTCCTTCATCTGTGAGCACTCAGATGTGGCACCTTTGTTACTAGGAAAAAAACATGGTAGAGTGAGGCGTAAGACATGCGTTTGCAAGAGAATGCCCGACAAAGGCCAACAGCGAAAGCGTAAGATACTCTCCTTGTTCTCTCTCTCCATTTTACCCTGTTGTGAAAATGTTTTCAGGCTTACTCTTTTGCCCCAAATGAAAAAGGAAAATTAATATCGCTATCAGTTCCTTTGAGCGTATTAGGAGGTTGGTCCTCAAGGGAGAGAAGTTGCAAACAAATGTGGATAGATTTTTTTGGAGGATTCCCATCCCACCTAAGGCTGGGAAAAGAGTGTGATGGTAAATTTTATATTTCTGCTTGGACCTTTGAAAGAAGAGAGACCTCATTTATTGACAGCT